ATCCTATACACAAAGTAAAGCAAAGTATTTCCCCAAGCTTAAAAGCGTCTTGTCCACCAAATCAAAGCAGTTCAGTTGGTTCCCTTTTTGTGCAATAAAGTGTAGCGCCTATTCTTCATTTTGGCAAACCTGTCAATAACTTGACTCTTACTCAGTTTACAAAGTTCTTCTTGCTCAATTGATAAGACAGCAAGATGGTGAAGCCTGTCTTGGCCCATTGTGCACCTCAGCCAAGTGTGGAGAAGTCTCAGTGCGCTGAATGACTGTTCACGGTTTCTTCTGTTAAAGGGAGTTTTTCCTCCCCACTGTCGCTGAGTGCTGCTCGGGGGGGGGGTTGTTGGGTTTTCTCTTTAATAATAGAAATAATAACAGTAAGGTCTTGTACCTTACTGTGTAAAGTGTCCTGAGATGACTGTAGGTGTGATTTGGCGCTATACAAATACAACTGAATTGAATCCATGTGTTCTGTGTATGAGCACATTACGGGTTTTTGTGTATCTGTGTGTTTTGGCTCTGACTGGTAGAGGCCCTCCTCTAGTACCCCCCAGCTCCATCTCTCCTGCCAATACCTAATTGATTTGGCTCCATCCTGCCTGCTCTACTTACTCAAGTAGTTAATTAACTTAACTTTTAATTTGTTTCCACACAGTGCCCGGGTAAAACATAAAGCTGACACAGGCTGTGCAGTGTTTTTTTGTCTAACAGTGCACACAAAGGTGGGAGTCTCACAGCTAATAAACTGGCCTGGGGGTGGGGGGGGTCGAGGTCGAGAAGTTGCTTGACAGTTTACTGGCCAGTGGCTTCACTGCACAACTCAGTCCAGTTCTTCTTTTTGCTCTTTCAGTTTATGCTCTATTACTCCGCTTTTCTCATTCTTGCTCCATTTTTACCTAAATACCTACCATATATGAGATTCATTGCTTAAAGAGATGAATAAACAAACATCTTTCCAAAATTTCATATTGTACTTTTAAAGTAAAAAAACAAAGAAAATAAGAAACTTGTCAAATCCCACAGTTTGTTTACCGGTAAACTGTATCTTACATAAAGAGCTACATTATTTCATCAGCTTTGTGCTTTACACTCATAAGTCAGGAATGAATTGTGAATATTTCTCATTTTGCTAAGATGTCTTCAGTTCACAGCCACTGCTGGTGACCTCTGTATATGCATTGCTCTGTTCTGTGTGCACTTTTCACTCTATGTCACAGCTTTTCTGTATAGTGTGAAGACCAATGTTGTTGAGCTAAATGGCAAACACTCATGAACTGCAGTTTATCTTAAACAATAGCATTTTATTTAATGATCACATAAATATTATTCCCTGAAATATGTTACATTTACTTGCCAGTGGTTTCATTGCAGGTTAAGCACAAGTTGGGGCTTAATTACACAGAATTTCTTGTAGCACACAGTACAAGACAAGTACTTAAATATGTAGGTTATTACTTAAGAGCATCATTTGTTGTCATACAGTGACATAAAATGGGAAAGTGCAATTCAGAATAAAAATATTCATTGATTAATCAAAAAAAAAAAAAAAAAAAATCACATCTCTGATTTATTGTACATGCAGTAAAAAAAAAAAAATTGTAAGGCAACACCCCAATTATTGTTCAAATGATTTTAAAGACATTATTAAACCTAAAAGATTTTCTAACTAACTTTCATGCAAGTTCATCAAAATATTAGAAACATTTTGTATTTTTCGTTTTGTATTTTTAGATAAATAAATTTTTTTGACAATATTGCAATGACAATTGATCAAATAAGTGGAGTAACTACCTGTAACAAAGTTCCATCAGGTGATGCAGCAGAACACTGCTTATTTAGTGGTTTCCACTAAAAGCATAAACACTTCCTATTTTCACGTCTACTTCAAGTGCACATTTTTCTCTGAAGCATCATATAATTCAAGTTTGTTCATGTATGTTTAAATGCTTTTCTGTAGACAGTCATACTATGTCTGCCTGCTTGATTATATTATAGCTAAAGATTTAATTCATTGTCATTCATTAGTGAAAAATGAACATGTACTAATGGTAACATGGTAAATTACTACCATTTCCATCTGCTATACAAAATAGATCTTTAGATTACATATACCTTCTTGGTAGCTTATAATATCCAAATGTCAGGGTGTAAACAGATATTAAAATGTTCCTGATGTAGAATAAGTTATGTCTGAAATTCAGAGCTGCAGCAGCACCTGCAGCACAAACACCCTTCAAAAGCTTCTAGGAGCCGCCCATGGTGTCTCCAGAGTCGGCAGCAGGTGGACGATTAAGACAATCTATGCGCATTGTGAGGCCCTCTGTGGACATGATGGATGAAGAGCTCTGACTTGGTGACATCAGTCCAGTTTTGAAGGAGCCTTGCAGGTTCATGTTGACACACAGAACTCCAGACAACAGCTGTCTCTTATACTGGTCGAGACGCTTGATCACATCCTGGACTGCAGAACTGCTCCCATTCGCCCAAGTGGGAAACAGGCTGGTGGAGCTGAACCTGGATGGGAGGGACTGGGAGTGGTGTAGCTCCAGCTGACAGAAAAACCTAGAGCAAAGGTTAAGAGGTGTGAATGAGGAACCAGCTGCAACTGGTTCACTTACGGTTATTAAAGCAGCTGTAATAGATCATTTAGAATAACAATTTAAACAGCCTCTGTCATGTCTGTACTGTAGAGAAGCACTCTTACTTATATGTAAATATCTTGACAATGGTTTTGGTCTAAAAATTATTTTAATTTAATTCTTTCCTTCATTGTACAAGTTACTGCACACACTTCAGGCATTCATCTGAATTTGTAATTTAATTTAGATATGTCTAACATTTAAGACAATATACTGTCCTTATTTCCTCCAATATTTGATTATTTTTATTAGTATTTTCTATAATATTCAGTCTGAATCTGTGGTGACAGGAAGGTCTACACAGATATTTGTTGACCTCAATGTTAACTATGGTTGTTGACATGTTGCTGAAAACACAAGCAAAACTAAGGTTGACCTCTAGATGTACAAAATTATATGCAAATGCTGTGTTCACAGCTTGTTTCTGCTGCCCCCAGGTAGCCAAAAAAGTTACTGCAGGTTTAACCCACTGGAAATTCTGTGGATATCATGAAGATTCTATTATAGAGAGCATAAACTGGACATTTAAAGTATTCTGGCATGATGGCCTTAAAAAGTCAAGGCTAGCTATAGTCTTTCTAAATACATAGCATAAATGGGGAACAGAGTGTCACCTACCTGGCAGATACTTGTCGGAAAATGCTTCTAGAGGTCTGACGACAAACACGCTGCAGGACTTTTAATAACTGCTCTTGAATCCATCCCACATCTTCCTGCACATCTGGTAGCCACTCCAGCAGTCTACACATGGGATATGCAGCTGTTAGTCAAGAGGCACAGAGTGCTACACCAGTATATGTCTTTATGGTCAATACAAAAATGGCTAGAAGATTATCAGTTCCATTAATAACTATTTTGGGGGCATGTCAAATAAGGAAGGAACAGGACCAGCTGTAGTTGAGTTCCACAGCACCTGACAATCAAGGATACAGCAGACTCCAGAGGGAGAGTGTAGGGGACCATCATGGCTGAGGCCATCCTGACAGGAAGCAGGTTGCTTAGCGACCGCATCAGGCTCCTCCTCTCCACGCAGGCCTCAATGAGAGCTGCAGCGATGCAAAGAGGATCACAGCAGTTACCATAACTGTGCACAGAAATCCTTTTTCCTCTTTTCCAATACAGCAATTCTCAATCATGGATTCGCTTAAAACACACAAACACTGTGTATACATACACATGTTAGGATACATAGGCTACACACAAGGCCAGCATCTATTTCTTCCTCACACAAGTTGTATAATGTTATGCTACCTCTGTGCAGGGGGAGTGGAAGTTGTATGATGATATGGTCCTCTGCTGAGGAACTGGTGTGAACCATCTCTGCTCTTTCTTCTAAATGTGGCTTTTCCTCCTTTTTATCATGGTTATTGTTCTTCTCCTCGTCATCATTACAATCCTCATTTTCTTCTCCATTAACTAGTAGGGGTCTGTCTCTGAGAGGGCCGTTGAAATTAAGCAATCCTGTAAAGAAAATCAAATACGAAAGCACTTATTAAATCTGTTATCAATGGTGAGGCAATTTCTTAATTTCAAATATTCAACTAGTTTATAGGAATTAACATACATTAATGTTGTTTTATCATGTTGAAAATATGCTTACAAATTAGTAGATGGTGAATGACATATATAGTGGTCATTTTCTTGTTTATAAAGCATTTAACCCCCTTGTACACACTTCACTTACTGAAAGAAAATACGTTGGTATCCAAGGGGTAAAAAAATCAAAACAAAAAGGCTGTGCATATCAGTTTTCATGCTGTACAGTTTATTGCCAATAAATAAATAAACAAATTAGTAACCAAAGGGAATGACACATGTTTAATCACAAGCCAAAGCAAGCTATTGATTTGGTGACGTCGTCAGAGATAGCATATCAGTGTACACACTGTACATATTAATATTTTCTGGCCAGTAGATATGAGATCAGTTAGGCCTGTTAGTACTTGCAGCTGACAGCAAAATCATTTTATGTTATGTATGTAGGTGTCAAAATTAAATCAAACAATTACTGAGAAAGGAGCCTTGCAATTTAGCAGTGTGGAACTAATGTTCCTGGGGACTGTAATTACAAAGCATGACACAAAAAAAAAATTTCCTGCTAACTATGGGAAAGGGCCTTGAGTGAGGAGAAACAACAGTGCTTATAAGAGACATGGGATGTACCCTGTATAGTGCACTACAGTACAGTGTTCACCACTTTGTAGTGGTGTCTGAAGGCTGTGTGTAGATGTATCCACTATATAGTGCACTCAAAAATTACATAGATATTAAACCAGTAGTGAACATGGCATGTACACTTACCATTCCTCTTTAAAAAGTGCAGAGCATCTTTATATCCCTGTTTACACATGGCCTTCAAAATCTACACTCAAAACAAACACATACATTCATCAGTCAAAGCAACACACCGAATTCAACTGAGCCAATCAATGTGTCTGTAGATGTGTGTGCGTATGGCTCAGAAAGTGACCTACCATTGGGTCTGGAGGGAAAAGAGCTCTGGAGACTCTGTAGAGGTTGGTGAGTGTGAACTGAATGCTTGTGTTAGTGAATCGCAGCTCATGTAGGTTGGTTGAAGTGTCTCGGGGGCAGATGTCACTCTCTCCACAGAATGGGGACACAGTGATGGTGTTTTTCAGCTCATACTGAGGCAGGTTATCCGAGATTCCTCCATCGACATATCGCTGAATGATACAAGACAAAAATTTGCATCTGAATGAACAGAAACTGATCAATAATTGTGCAAAGTCTACACAGTGCTTTACTATGAATCATTTTGATGTCAAATGTCACATTTGGCCACAGAGCAACTGTTACAAAGGATATGACAATAGTGACATCATATCCTGTGTATTTATTGATTGTTTTTATTAAAGCTGGTGAACTTTTAAACCCAATATGTGTCAACGGATAAGATTAGAGTGACATCAATTTCTTGAATCTGAGCCACTGGGGGAAGGAGAGAACAGGACAACCTTAAAGTCTGGGCCAGCATGGTCCAGCATGGCTCTGCCACTCTCAGCGTTTGGTCATATGCCCTACATACACACAAGCGTGTGTAGACTCTTAAAACTCATCACAAAGGCCACAGAGGGAGGATGGGAACGCTGGTATTTCTCAATAATATTTCCCACAAAACCTTTGTGCTAGAAACATGTCCAGCTGAATAATACAAATTCTGCTTTCCTCTTTAGTGAGACCTCTCATAAACACTCACTCCAGAGGAGTTTTATAATCACTGTTTCCACATACATGTGCCATTCAGAACAAACACATTCTTGAGGAAGGGAGGGCTCAGATAGGGGCAGTTACAGATGGAAGTGCCAAAAAACACCAGCAAAACACAATGAGAGGAAACAGAGCACATGGTTCAAGCAAAGCAGTGAGGTACAGTGATCATTACATCGCTTCAACAGCCAAAATCCATACATCAAGGTAATTAATATGCATTACCTCCAAAATAGGATAATGGCAGTGGAAGGAAATGTACATGCTGAACAGTAGTGAATCCGCAGTACTCACCACTCCTTGCAGTGTAGGGGGAATAAGGCCACAATAAACTGGGATGAAAGCACTACAGACACATGCCTATTTAAAAAAAGAGAAGAAACATAGTTTTTGGATACATTTTTTGATGTGACATTAAATGCAGAAGGAAAACTAAACTAAATAACATACAAGAATAGTACAATTTGTTGAAATAGTGTTATTCTACTGGACTTACAGTGGAAGTCATCATTATCCATTCTTAAAGGAAGCATTACAGTTCGAGTTACATTTTCTTATTACACTGTTGTAGCTGAGTCAACTCACTGGTTATCATCAGGGCTCTAACACCAGTTAATCTGCAAATTAGTTTTTGGATTTACTAATTCATAAAATATCTGAAAATTGTGAAAAAAAATGTTGTAATGTTCCAGATCCTAACATGATGTCTTCATTTGTCTGAACAACAGTCCAGAATCTCAAGATTTTCAGTAGCACTTGAGAAGCTGAAACCAGAGATTGTGCATCTTTTTTTGCCCCATGATAAAGGACTTCACTATTTATTAACAAGTTCAACTATAAAATGATCAATCATATCCATATTACTAATGCTCCATTCTCAAAATGGTCTTGTATGCAAGTGGAATCTGAAAGCACATATGGGCTTCCCCAAAATACTGTCACATTGTCAGTACTGAATAGTGCGCTCTGATATCCAATTTAATTAATATCAATTATTTTGCAAAGTATTGTGAAAAATATGCCACACAATGCACACCTGTATCAGCTCTTCCTTGTTGTTGAAGTGAGACACCAGGACATTTTCTCCATCTGTCACTCGGGTGAGAGAGATTCCTAACCGCCCGCTGGCCCGCTCATGGCAATCATCCGGCAGAGTGCGCTGCAGCAGGAGGCGCATAATTTTCACCAGGTTAAATGAAGGGTGCATGGGTCCAAGGAATCTCTTTCTTGCCTCTTTAGCAACCTCAATGATACCTGCACCAGTATCTCCTGTGAAAACATTAATAGACGTTATAGGAACTGTAGAGAACTCATTATCATATGAAAAAGGGGCAATGACCAGGGTGGAAAGTAACTAATTTTTACAGTAAATGCTTAGAAAAAGATGAGAGAGAACATCTCAAAAGAGCTTTTTGAGATGAATAAAGTTCTCCGTGCAACTGTAGGATGAATCCATTATACAATCTGTTCAAAAGTTTTAAGTATAATAAGTAAACTTTGCTGGTAACATTTATGCAGTGCTAATATTTTTATTTCCAAGTATGTTTACAGTGTATTCCGATCACTTCTCCCACCACTGGTAATTCAACCGAGATGTTTTCAAAAAACTACATCTGAACTTGTTTCTGAAAAGAAATGCAAAATGACAATGGCTCAAAACAACTGCAAACAAGCACAAAATTACAAAGACACACAAAATGCACCCCCCACCCCACCCCCAGAAGATATACATAATAGAGAAAAAAATACCACTGCTGTGTTGTTTACAGTCACATTGGGCCACGGCTCTTGCTCCATTGTAGGAGGGTGGGCGGGTGGGGGCTTTTACCTGTGTCTTCCCATGGGTCCATTGTCTCATGATCCGTTCATGCTTTCGAACAGTCTACAGCACGAGCAAAAACTTAATTCTTGAGTTTAACAACCCTGGTAGTCTTTTGTTCGGCGGCCACTTGCCATCTTTTTCACTTCCTGGAAACGCTTAAAATAACAAAACATACCTACCAAGACAAACTCCCGTGACCAAAGAAGTGGCGGTGAGAGCTCCAGCTGATGCTCCATATATGTGCCTGGCGTTTTGCACCAGAAAAGGAGCGTGCTCGTGCAGACAGCTGGCCACACCGACATGGTAGATACCGAGGAAGCCACAACCGGCAAAAGAGATGTTCCATGGCGAGTCTAGCGGAAACATCCCGGTGACCGTCCCAAACAGTAACAAGTGGGGCTAAGGTAGTTTACAAATGATTTGACAAAGTTCACTCAGGGACTGAAAGGATTCAAAAAAGCCAATACTCTAAAAGCTGAGCACTCTTCATATTTTGTTAACAACGCCTCTTTGTATGCTGTTTTTAGCATAGCATACTTTCTCTGCTAATTGTTTTTTAGCTTTTTGGCTAACGTCAGAAGTCACTTTTTCGTTGCTGGTAACGTCGCTAAGTTGACATTATTTAAAAACATGAAAATCCCTTACGCTTAAGCTTATCCTTGTTGCTGAATGTTGTAATTAAAACAGCCCTACGCTATTTAAATAGCTACGCGTCAAGTCTCGCTGGTTCACATAGCTTTACTTATGTATTGGTAGGAGGGCGCATTATAAACATCACAATCGACACCGCTAAGGAAACTGACCAATCACAATTGAAGTTGTTGATCAACGGACCAATCACAATCCGTAGCGCAGAAACACCCATGAAGTCAGTGGCTGCGCACTCTCGTTGCTCTGACAGCTGTCAAATGTTTTTTTCCCAGGCAGAGGTGCAAGTTTTATTTTGTCTGGTCTAAATTTATGTGTCTGTTTATGGCCACATTTTTGTCAGGACCAATCTGTCCATGTCGTAAGAAACTAAACGAAGCTATAGGTATAGGCCTATTTGGACTTTCTTTCGTGATAGGTGTTATCATTAGGAAGTATGTGTATTGATTTCCCATGAAGTAGGCTATAGGCCCTGTTAACCTACTGTTCACAGATTAATTAAAGCAAGTCTGCGATCGTGTGCACAAATAGTTATCTGCTCATGTTTATTTGTGAACACTTTCAATGTTTTTCCAATACAGGAACTAAACATCTTGCATTTGATAAAACATTGTTTTACATTTTAGTACTTGCTTTTAAATCCCTCCGTGGCCTCGCACCTCCCTATTTATCTGGCTTGCTTCACTGGCATACAACTACACATTCCCTGAGATCTACCTTTCAGTTTCTTTTGCGTGTGCCCAGAACAAAGTGCAAGCTTAGAGGCGATCGTGCCTTTGCGGCTGCTGCTCCCAAATTATGGAATGATTTACCACTGCCCATTAGACAAGCCTCTTCTTTGCCGGTTTTTAAGTCCCTTTTGAAAACTCATTTATTCTGGTTGGTGTTTTGATACTATTTATTGGTGTGATCTTATTTGTATTGATTGATATCTTATTTTTGTGTTTATTTTATCCGTATTGACTGATGTCTGACATTGGTGTTGATTTTATCTGTCCTTGTAAATTGTGTTTATTTTTAATGTATATTGTTAATCACACTGTACAGCACTTTGGTCCGTCTCGGTTGTTTCAGTGCTTTATAAATAAAGTTGGTATGGTATTGTTCAGCAAGAAAAGACACTCTGTGATAAGGATGGACAAATCTGGATTGTGTTCTCTTGTTTGCAAACGATAGTAGGATTTCACAAGAAATTGTAATGAAATCACAAATCA